TGCAATAAAATAATATTAAAAGTGCTATAATGTGGTGAAAAGCTTGAACATTTTCATAGGCCGAACTGGGATGATCATTGGTTATAAATATATCCCTGATAAGTTTTGACATTTCATAGTCTTGGTTTATTTTATTTGTTTGTTTTTCAAACTAAATTAAAATAACTAATTGCAGAGTTATCATGTGGATACTTTTTTTTTTCTTTCTTTCTTTTAACAATAAAAAGAGAAGATAGATTTCAAATCAGGTTGCTATACTAAATAATCATCAGTCAGTGGCTGCCTTGACTGACTTATTGGGAAGTACTGCGATGATCAATTACTAATATCTGCAATAAGCACAAGAAGAGAGACGGGCAGCATAAGTACTGTAGCAGGCAACCTCTAAGATGGCCCACAAGTATCTCCCTCTTGGTATTTACACCTTTGAAATAAAGAAATTGGCCTTAGCCCAAAGAGAGGTATGGCCTTTGTCCCCAGTTCTGGGAGGTAATCTTTAAGCCTTGGAATTTCCAGAGTGATAAAGAAGTGTCTTTGTTATTCATGATGAGCCTCTCAGACCACATTTGATAGTTTATGCTAACAAAGCCACTCCTGGTGGGCCTCAGATAGCTTACCTTAATGAGATGACTCAGGACAGGGCTAGCCATATCAATAGTTCTGGGTTGGGAGCTGGATGTGCCAGAAAAATCAACCATGTGATTAGAGAGTTGGAATTTTGAGCCAGGTGATATTAGTTCTACCTTGGAGGAGGGGAGTGGACTTGAGATTGAGTTCAATCATGTGGGCAATGATTCAATCAATCAAGCCTATGAAATGAAACTCCAATAAAATCAGTGGGGACCTGTGTTCACTGAGGTTCCTGTATTGGCAATACTCTAAGCATACTGTTAAATATGATATTGAGAGGGTAATATATCCCTAAAAAATAAGAAAGCTTTATACATTTTGAATCCTCCCAGATTTAATCCTACATCTCTCTACCTTTGGCAGTGCTAATTTGTATCTTTTCCCTATAATAAAACTGTCGTTGTAAGTATAGTGCTTTCCTGAGTATTTTAAGTTTGTCTAGCAATTACAGTGAGCGTGGTTTGGGGTAATGCCGAAACTTGCAGTTGTTGGTTGAAGGGAGCACAGTCTCCTGGGGACTGTTCCTTCTGACTTTGGAGTTGTGGCAAACTCATTGTAGTTCGTGTCAGATGTCCTGGGCAGATTTGGCAGTCTGGAGGACCATGCCCTTAACCTTGAGTTTGGCTAACTCCGGGCAACACCTTTCTATAATCCTCTCCCCTTAAATGTGCTGGACTTTGTGGCTCACTTCAAATCAAGAGAATGTGGCAGAAGTGATGTGGTGTCACTTCCAACTTAGATTATCAGAAGACTGTGGCTTCTATCTTAGATGCTCTCTCTCTCGGACTGCTCCCCCTGGGGAAGCCAGATGCCATGTTATGAGAAAATCTTGTGGTACAGTCTGCACTGAAAGTAACTGAGAGAGCATGTTGGACCTCAGCTAGCAAGGAACTGAGACCCACATAAATGAACCCACAAGCAGAGTCTCCCCTAGTCAAGTCTTCATATGAGACTGCAGTCCCTGCCAACAGCTTGACTGCAGTCTCATTAAAGACCTTGAGCCAGAGGCACTCAGCTAAGCTATACCAGATTTTCTAAAGAACATAAACTGTGAGGTAATAAATGTTAGTTATTTTAAGCCATATGTTTTGGGCTAATTTGTTATGCAGCAATAGATAACTATTACAGGGACCCTGTATTCTTATTCCCAGCGTCCTAAAATGCCTTAATAGCAACTCAATAAATGGTAGCTTCCATTATTACTAAAAGCACAAGCTTGAGTTTTTCAGTGTCCTAAGATTTAAATCAATGAATGCTTTCTTCCAAATTACATTTATTGAGCATCTCTTTAATAAAAAACACTGTAAAAAGTCTAGCAGGTATAAAGATGAATAAATAGTAAAGTGCCTTACTATTGCAATAACAGGGAAATTAAAAGTTAAATTAGGAGGAAAATAAAATTTTAAGTATCCACGCATAGAAATAACGATAAATCACCTAAATACATAATAAACAGACCCACTGCCTCCCTCATACTTCATTTTTCCACTAATATATTTGTCCCATTGATTTTAGGACACAGTACTAGCAACTGTCTTCTCTGTAGTCACAGCTCTACAATTCATACAGCCCAAGATGACACTTCAAAGAACTGCTCAGGGTGTGCTTACTCAAACACTTCCTGAGCTGAATTAGTGTATCATATTTTAGGACATTGCATGGTGTTCTCTCTCCTACTGGGCATTTAGCATAACTGTGAAGTCATGTTTGTTCATTCATTAAATAGCTTAGGTTTTGCAGAAAATGATGAATCTCTGAATCAGAAATCTCTGAGATTTACTCCTGGTTGTCACTTACTGAATTATAAAACCTTAGAAAGTAAATTAGTCTCGCATAATTTGTTTCCCTTATCATATGAAGATACTAACGTCCTCCTATTTCAGAGAGTTATTCTGAGGATTAAATGAGATGCATTTTAAAAAGTGTAAAGCACTTAGTAATGATTCTGGCGCATAACTGTAGTGGTAGTTAGACACATGGGGCTACAAAGATGAGGCGTGGTATCGAGCATCAAGGTCTCCACTGTCTTTTGAGAGAGACTTCTAATGAAACCACAGCATCAATATACTATGGCCAGAGTCACATACAAGAAGTCCTGGTGGCGCAGTGCTTAAAGGCTCAGCTGCTAACTGAAAAGTCAGCGGTTTGAACCCACCAGCCACTTTGCGGTAGAAAGATATGGCAGTCTGCTTCCGTAAAGATTTACAGCCTTGGAAACCCTATGGGGCAGTTCTACTCGGTCCTATAGGGTTGCTGTGAGTTGGAACTGACTGGGTGGCAATGGGTTAGAGCCACATATATGATTAGAATCTGGTTCATATTCAAGATTCCATTTAAATGTTTATTAAGTGCCAACTATGTACAAGTAAAACATAGCCCTCGACCCACAATAGATCTTTATGAAGTGAGTAAATGGACACACATAAATTACTGTGAAATAAAGCAGACAGAAGAAAAGACAACTAAAGAAGTACAAGGTACAGTGAAAATTGGGACATAAAATTAAATCTGATGGACGCTTCTTGAAGACTCTGTGATTTGAGATGGACTTGGAAAACTGGTTAGGAATTATATTTACCTATAGGAAAAATAACAAAGGAAGCTGCAAGATAGAATGAATTGTCTAGCAGATGTCCTGAAGAGGAAACGTGAAGAAAAGTGATTGTGACAAGTTTAGAACATTAAAAGAGAGAAATAGACATACACACAGAGTGAGGGCACGCGGGCGTGAGCGAGACAGAAAAAAAGAAAACTTTACTAGATATGGATCACAAACTGGTAAAAAGCAGTGTTTAAATGCAGTTATACGACAGTGAAGGTGCCCTCTTTTTCAAGAATTTGATCCTTTATACGCCTGAGGAAACTGTTTTAAATATAATGGTGCTTGCAAATATGCAGCAGATTTTCTTTTTAAAGACAATTCTCTGCTACTCCAAAGTTTTCTTGATTGTGAAATTAGAAGGTTCTTTAATAATTATCTCTCAAAGCACAGAGACATACACTTCTGTGGTTATTATTTGATACCTATTTCATATATCTTTATATTTTCGAAACGAGTTGAGCTTAATTCCCCCACAGAGTCAGACCCATGAGAGGCACAGCCTTATAATCTGTCTCTGATATAGGCACCTAGGGATAGCTCATGGAAATGATTTTCTTCTAAGGTGATAATCTGAAAAATATATAGGAATAGTCTGTCCAAACACTGCTTGTTTTCCTTTAGTGTATAAACATTAGTGCATCTATGGCACTCAAGGCAATTTAGCTGGTGAAGCCCTGTGGGGGTGGAGATGAAAACAAGCCAATGAAGGGCCCCCTCTGGCTTTGGCAATGACCAGCACTCTGAAGAGCAAATGTGTTTTTGTCTAAAATAAAACACCAGTACCTTCACACAAACAACTAACCTAAGTCTCCTACAAGAAAGAACTGAAAACACAAGGGCTTTTGTTTACACCCTTGCACAGTACTTGTGCGGACAGAAAAATCTGTCTTAACTTGGCTAGGATGTCAGTATGAATATTTCGTGCCATTTTGACTATCAGAATATATATGCTTATGTAATTAATTTCTTAATACACAAGGGTTGATCAAAAATAGTCTCATCCTCAAATCTGAAGCTCATTTGCAGAGGCCTCAAAAAGATTGAGACCACAGGAAAAGATAAAATGATTTCTGGACAGTAATGAGCAAGTTCAACATACATTAGATACTTGAAATAATGCTTTTAAGAATACTTATGATAGAACCTATGAAGATGAATATATCATATCCCTATGGAAACCCATCTCAAAATTGTGCCTAGTTACCCTTTACTTGAGTTAAAATTCTATTTAATTTAACTCCTGTAAAATGCAAATAAGCCCCAGGGAAGGAGTGGCAGATTAAACCTTGCTTGTACAGCAGCTAACAAGCTCAGCACCAAAAGCATTTATTGGAAAATCTAAAAGAAGCATAAAAAATATACAATAGCAGGTAGGTGAACATATTACATGTCGCAAGCCAAATTCATATTTTTAAACACTTCTCACATTATTCCAGGCTCAAATCACAAACCCATGGAAACTCCCCATTGCCCAGAGGATAGAGCTTAATATCCTTGGTGTGGAATTCCTGGTCAGACATAAACCAGAATCAATCCTTTACTTCAAGTTTACCTCACATTAATTCTCAAAATGAACCCCTAGATCTAGTTCATCTTGTCTAATTCATAGTCTCTAAAATATATTACTTATGGCCATGCCAATCTAACAATATGACTTTCCATTTGAATCCTCTTGAAATATCAATATGAAATCTAAGTCCCACTTTTTCAGTCTTAATGAAGTCAGGTATCACTATTTTAATCAAAATTAGCTTCTTCCTCTTCTAAACTCTTTCAGTGCTATGATATGCACCATTTTATTTTGCAATTTATGATAACAGAGAGTATATGATATCTATAGATGTCTCTTTCTCTCTCCTTTAATTCTACCCACCAGCTAGTCCTAAAAATCTTAGAAGTAATTTTTTACAAAGAGTGAATTGAAAGCATTAGATCTCTTCTGGATCTCTGTAGAAGCAGAGGTGAGGCATGACCTCCCATGGGTGCTCCCAGGAGATGGTGTCATGCATGCACAGAACTTGCTGGGTCAGCATCCACCACTTCAGACCCATCAACTGAGCTCCTTTGTTGCATAGGACGGCAATGTCCATGTAGCGCAGAGGAGAATCTGTGTTACACAGAGCAATGGTGGGCAGGTTCACATAAGATGCCTCTGTGAGAGGCAGCTGGTCAGCCCTGGGATCAGTAACCACCAGAAGACACAGGTCCCGGAAGGCTGCTTGGCTGGTTAGTGAAGGTTCTAGGAGTGAAGGGCCCAGCAATAGCAGTGGCTCCATTGGCAGTGCAAACTTCAGCACAGCACGCTGGCCGGTATTCCTGGAGGATATAACACTGACATCAGAAGGGTTTTCAATGGCAACAATTGCCCAAGTTGCCAACAGAAGCTTCTCCCAGGTCCTCTTCAGGTTTATGATGTGGATGCCATCACTCTTCCTTTTGCATATGTACTGTTCCATTTGGAAGTCAACGCTGGTGCCACCTAAGTGGATTCCTGCTGTAAGGAATTTGAGGACATCCTCCTCCTTCATCTGCAGGACATCAAGGGGTCCAGACACTGTGACAGTTTTGTCTTTAAGTTACGACGTGAACCCAGGATCATGTAGTATGGATCCTTCTCTGGGTAGCCCAGAAAGCTCAAATTTCATTTTTAATGCCACTGGGAGTTGAATCTGAGTTGAGAACTCATAACAAGACCATGTGACACATTGACTACTATTCTCCAATGAGGCCATCTTTGTGGAATAGCATCAAACTCAAGTCTAATGCACAGCAGCTTACAATACCAGTAAGTTGTATCATATAGTAAGTAATATGAAAGGCTCTTCAATGTGTAAATTGGAACATTTGGCACCCTTAATAAAATCCAGAAATGGTGTTTTCCTAAATTCATGGTTCTCTTTTTATGACCATTCCCTTTCATGTTCTATCTCATAGTCCAAAATTTGGTATCCACTTTTCACATTCATTATGTAAACAGAGCTTTATATTTTAAAACAAAGATAACATATGAATAAATATTAAGTAGCTTACAGAGCTGAATTAGCACCATCTGTCTAAACAAAACTTTACCAAAGTACATGAGGTCTTTTTGTCTACTGTCTTTCTCAAAGTATATTTTGAATTTGTTATATAAAGTACTCAAAATGATACAAAATATTGCCAAGCATATTTCATGTGGCAGATATTATTATTTGTTCTCAATTCTTTCCTTCCCCTTCCTGATGTGGCTTTCTTGTGGGTGAAAATTAACTGCCTTTGGACTTGACCTTGTGACTTGCCTTGGCTATTGGAATGTGAATCGACATAAATGAAATATTATCAAATCAGAGGATTCAGATGTGTGCAGTGTGACAGATTGCTTTTATGTGGCCTGTCTCACCATGGTCTTGTAACTCCTACCCAAGGGATTGGGCGGGACTGTGCAAGACTGTGCAAATAAGGTAATTGTGGCCTACCAAAGGGATTGGTCAGTTTTACCATCCTGCTAAGCTTAAAGAGAATCAATTCCAGGCGAAAGGGAGGATCCTACCACCACCCAGGAAAGAGAACCAAGAGCGGAGCGTGTCCTTTGGATCCAGGATCCCTACACTGAGAAGCTCCTGGAACCAGGAGACCAAAAGAGAGAACTCTAACACTAAAGACAGCAAGAAGAGGTGGCAGAGAGACAGTGACAGGAGGGACTGGCAGAGAGACTGGCAGGAGAGACCGGCAAGAGACGGCACAGTGGGCTTCCCACTGAGCGAGAAAGCTGAGTGCATTTGGGCCAAGGCTTACGGTGATGTGGGTTGTCTCTGAGCACCTACTGGCAGAGCTAGAAGATCTTTGTAACACCTGTCCCTGATCAGGGCAGAGGCTGAGTGGCCAGAGAGAGGCGTGCCTGCCGCACTGCTGGGAAGAGGCTGTCCTGATGGAAGAACTGTATCCTGAGCATTCCTAAGCCTGAATTGTAACCTGTTATTTCCCTAATAAACCCCATAATCACGAGTATTGTCTGTAAATTCTGTGTGGCCACTGCAGTGGATTATTGAACCCAGCAGAGAAGTAGAGAGTGCCATAAGAGGGATGGTCGGTGTCAGAATTGGTAAAGATGGCAGAGAGAGAAGGCATGTCTGACCTCCATCTCATAGAAATCAGCCTTGGGCTGTTGATCTTGATTCTCCTTCCCCCTTGTGAAGTTAGAGGAGGTCAGACGCTGCTCCCATGACATTTTTACAATGTGCATGTGTAGTTTAGCTTGTATATCTGTAACTTACTCTAAACCATGCAAATACCACCCTCCAGGTTATTCCAGGGACTGGAATGAGACACACATAGAGCAGACTGGAGCAAAGCCACCCCAACCAAACTGCAGACTTTTCAATGAGGAATAAGTTGTGTTGTTGTGACTCATTGAGATGTTGGATGGTTTGTTATGCACTATTATTATAGCAAAATCTGATCTATTTCGTAACTCAGAATTTTAAAATATGACAACCAATTAAAGTACTAAAAATATATCACAAACATCCATTAACATTCTTTAAAAGCCTCAGTAGTTCAAGTTCTTCAGCAGAATTTCCTTGGTATATAAACTCTGTTTAGTGTATAATCATGTATAATATTTAATTATGGGAATTATTTTTTACAAGCTTTCATTTTCTCTTTACGAATTAGGACCTGGTCTCCTGGTCATTTCAGATGCAACTTGAGGTACCTCATAATTATTTGATTTCAGACATACAGTAATCAGGAACACAAGTAAATGAACATAATCTTATTAATTTCTATCTAATATATTTAATAATGGGCTCATGTGTGAAAGTTTACACTACAACTGTGCAAGGCAGAAAAAGGAAGTTTTGAATCCAGTCTCAGAGAACAAAGCTGTCTAATGTGTATACACATGTATATGGCTTCTCAAAGAATAAGTCTACTAAAAAAGAATGCTTAAAAATCTCTTTTTATACAACAGTTAAGACATTTATAGATTTGTAGTTGTTAAAAGGATAAAGCCTCTAAAGCAACCTGCCCAGATATCATTTTTAAAGATGCCAAAATCTGTCCTTGGGAAGATCTTCAAAGATAGAACACGGTAATTAACTAAAGGACGATACTTGACCAGGTAAACTCTAGAGGAAATGTTAAGAAAAAGCCAGCCTTAAGAATTGTTTCAGATAAAGAAGCATAGATATCATGGCTGTTTAATACTTAAACAGCATGTTTTAACTGCTTGATGGGTTGGACATGTATAGAACTCTTCAACAAATAATTAAAGTAGGCACATTATATTCAAGTAGACATGGACATTTATAAATATTAACTAATATATTCTTAATTTCATAGTCAGTCTAATCAAATATCAAATAATTAATATTATACAAAAAAATTATACCCGATGCTACAAAATGAGTAATCAGTAAAGCACTAAGATTAAAAATCTTTGTTTGAAAATTAAAAAAAAGAAATACCATTACAAATATTATATAACGTAAGGAAGAAATGATTGAAATTTTAAAATATTTAGGACTGGATGAGAATAAAATGGCCAGGTATATCAAACATTTCAAATACAGCTAAAAGGAAACCTAGGGGTAAATTTAGTATCTTAAATGCATATTTTAGAAATTATAAAAATAAAAAATAGTAAGTTACGAATTTAATTAAAAAGTTAGGTTAAAAAAGAAAAAAACAAAAAAGGAAAGAACCTAAGGCAAAGAATACATTTCCTTGTATCCCACTACCAGTAAAATAAAATCTTGTCTCTTCATAGAAGTTCTGCTATAAATACATGAAAAGTTAATTAGATATCAAAAACCAATCAGACACAGTGTTAAATACAATGTAGGAACTGAGTAATAAACTTGGAGACCATTGTCTTCAATCTGCATTAAGACTAAGGGAAAGGCCCCTAACTTTACTTGCTCTCTAGTCAAAACTCTCATTTCCAGATGTCTTTTTTATCATAAAGAAAAGCAATTAAGTACAATTTAATTAAGTAAAATCAGAGAACAGATAATATGATTCTACTGTGTATCATTTGGCTTATTTCATCATTTCAGTGTTTCCCAATGTGGGGATTGAAGGGACAGGAAGAGTTTTGAAAAGGAACCATAGTTGAATTTCATTTCAAATACAGTAAGGATCACTGATTCACCACCTTGCTCTGAAACTCTTTCAACAAATAGCTCATCATTTTACCCAATACAAAAAGGATGATATCAGTCAGTTCTTTGTGGCCTGATGACTTAGAACACTCCTTTCTAAATTCAGTGGGGTTCTGTGAATTCTCTCTACTGAGCATCAAAACAATCTACTCCCTCACTACAGTGGTACAACACCACATACGAATTTGTTCTGAGCATTTATTTTCAAATCATGGACAGATGGAAGAATTGTTATAACCCTGCAGTTAAAATCTGCCATCCCCCCAAAAACGATTTAACCCAGTGACCCTAAGATCTTCCTCTCTACCAAAAGGGGCTAGAGGTGCCCCATATAGAACATATTCATGTTATTTAAGGATCAAAAGAAACACAGCCTGGCTCTAGCCTTGTAATTTATATTTCATATCCACTTGTTCTGTCTTGGGTCTATGGTTCCTGTACTATTGCCTCACATCTGGTTTCTACTTTACTTCCCAGCATTTTCAGATCAGTATTTCAATAGGACAGGTTTATTTAAGCTTTGGCCCTCAGATTTCTCCTTCAGATTTCCCCAGCATTAGTTCCTCAGGCTGCTGGCTGGGTCCTCCCTAATCCCTTGTCAAATGCCTATAGCTGAAATCCCAAGCTGACAAACTACCCTAAGACCCTATTCTATCTGGGGGAAAATTTTAAAAGCCACTACCTAAGTAGTATAACTGGATTAGGGCATGTTTTAGGAGGATGCCTGTGCTTTTAGAGAAGAGTTATAAAAATATAATTAAATGTTGTAAAAGACATGACAATATGAAATAAATAAAATACTCTGCCATTTAGTCAGTAGAATTTTGGAAAGGTTAAAAAGAGAGATGAGAACATCTCTACTGCAACCACTGGATGTAGTACAAAGAAATCACATACTTTTCAAACTATTCATCACCTTTAAACATTTGGCAACTATCTCGCTTCTGATTTTACAACAGACACAAAAAGTTGGCTTCCATTCAAATAAACTCGTTCACCTTGTCCTCTCCTACACATGCACTCAAAAAATAGATGGCAATTTTATTTCTCTTTAACAAAAAAGCCAGGGATAAAACTGTATTTTGGAAAGATAGCAGAAAGAACTACATTGGTACAGAAAAGGCAATACAGTTAAAAACTACTCAAAGCAGACAGGGAATTCCCCACAATACTAAGACAAATTCCCAAACTTCCAGGTCCACTTACTAACTCCCCCTTTTTAATCATTGGTTCCCTATAACATTCACAGGTCAAACACTAGAAATACCCAAACCTAGAAATGACCCATCAGAATAATAATATGGCCCACTGCCTTTTTGGTTCACCCAAACTGCGTCATTGGAAACACTTTTTTTTTCTCCTTAATTCCAATACAGCTTTTGAGTTCCTGGGTGGTGCAAATGGTTAAGCACTGGTCTACACACCA